TCTCCTGCTGCTTTGGAAGCTGCCAGATCATTACAAGTCCAGAACAACTTCCTTGCAATCCACAGGAGACCTGTGTTCCTGCACGCCACCAACAGCCCCTCAAATGCTTTCAGCACATGTTTCTTGAAGCAGCACAAGTGCTGGCTGCCCCTGTGTTAATTCTAGAGTGCCACGCTCCATAAAATCCAACTGTTTCTCTATAACTGAATCAAAGAACTGTTCTAAGGACATCAGCTTTTCCCAACTGACTCACAGTTTAGTATGACCAGAAATTAGTCTTGATTCCCAACTGATGACCACTGTGGCAAGTCACATTCCAACTGCAAATAGAAAGTGTCAAAGCTCCACAGCAGCAGAAGAGGAATTCTCTGGTCATTGATATCCTCTCATCCCACTTCGGAGTTTGTTTGTTTTTTGGGGTTTTGTTTTGTTTTCCACAAAACTGCTACAATAGCCCTCACTAACTGAAACACAGCTGCAGGTTCAGCTTTAACTCTGAATTCCCCTCACAGCCATTCAGAAGCTCTGAGATGTCTCTGTAGGTATTTTAGGTCAAGTCAGTGTTTCACACTGATGTGTTCCAGTACAGCAGAGCCTAACTGAGACTGCAGCAGGCATTCAATAATTTTTCCAAGAACACATACACAAAATACTTGTGTGCTAAAGAGACTTTACTTTGCATAGAGCAAGCACTGACCTCTTTTTCCCAGCTCTCCTGCTGCAGCTTCTTCCATTGCTCTCGTTTGGCAAAGTAATCAGGATACATTGCCTTCTCAGAAGGATGCCAGAAATCCAAGCACCATTCAGGAATCTGTTAAGAGAAAAATGTATTTTTTATATATATATACATAATTTTTGTATATGGAATCACATCTAATACACACATACAGAAGAAGGAAAGGGAATCACTGAAGCCAGTATTAATTCCTGGGTTTTTATCCATTTTGAAGTACTATATAAAAACACCATTTAAGAGCTGCCTGACTACTACAAGTCTCAAGGCACATGGCAGAGGTCAGGATTCACAGGAAGACATCACAGCATCCCAAAACAAATCCCAGGTCATCTCAGTTTACTCTGAAGTTCTCAAAATAATTCCTTCTGGTGGAAGAGATCACATTTCTTACCTTAATTCTCCCAAAAGCAGGAGCTTAGAGAGATCCTTCTCTCCAACTACTGATTTATTTAACTACTATTTTAAACTACTGATTTATTTTACTTGACAAAGACAGAACATTACAGTTCATTTCTGCCTGTCTACAACTACTAGGAAACAAGCAGTTTTATTAGGCCTTTAAAATCTTGATAATGGTCTGACCTCAAAGGTGTTCACACAACAAAAAAAAAGCAAAATTCAAAATTCTGCAGCAAGATATCACTAAATGTTTACATTTGAAAGACAAGAACGTTGATTAAGAAAAAACAACACCAAAATCCCACCAAAGCCCAAGTTCTTTAAAAAAAAAAAAATTATTATTAGTTTTCTTCTAAAGCACTAAAAAGCTGATGCCAAGAGAGCAAAAGCCCTGTGTTTTTCTGGGAAACCTGTGTCTTTGCTCCTAAACAGAACAATCTAGATGGTCAAAGCCTGTAGAAGCACTGTAGAGCCTAAAAATAAGGCTTCTATTTTCATGCATAGCTCCTGTCACACAGTGGCGCACAAACACTGCAGCATTATCAGGGGAAATCATTAACTTGTAGCGTTACTGAAAACGCTGGAAGAACGACGGGACTGAGTGAAGGGAAGTCCTCCCACAGCCAAGGTGACACTTGAGCAGACCAGAGAGAAACCGAGGCTGTTCTCAGACGGCAGCACAGCTTCCTCTCCTCCCCGTTGTTCCCTCCCACAGCTCAGCTCCAGCCCTGTCCCTGTGCCTGCCTGACCCACCGCGGGGCAGATTCCACTGGGCAAAACGGCAGATTATTATACCATAAAAAACCAAACCCAACCCAAACCAAACCAACACACAACCAGCGGCGTTCGACCAGATCAGCAAACTCCACCTTCAAGGATCAGAAAAGCAGGACAGCTCCTCCCACACTACCAGCTGAGCCAAGCTGCGGCCCTGTGGCTGCTCGCGTTATATTCGCTAAAAGAAGAGCAAAGCAAGCACAGCAATTCACACGTTCCAGGCCACCCTGACCTTGTAGCACTCGTATCTCTCGTAGGAAGTGCCCCCGGGGGAGTCGGGGAAGACGTAGGGCTGCGGGTGCTGGTTGGCCCAGAACTCCTCCTCGCCCGCCCTCAGCAGCTGGGTGGCTTTCACCATGTCCTTCACATCCTTGTTCTTATCGAAGCGCTCCCTCAGGAGGCAGGCGAAGTAGCGGTACTTGTCCCTGCGGGCAGAGGTCACGCACAGTGAGGAGGAAAACACCCCCACACACCGGGCCCAGCCAAGCGCAGAGCTGAGCGGCCCCTCTCGGCGGGCAGGAGGACCTCCCTCCCCGCGCCCCGCGCCCCTCGCCCTCACCGGTGGATGCACCAGGACTCAAGGTGCCGCAGAGACTTCTTGTACAGCCGGAGCACCTTCTGCTGGTGTGTCAGGTACGCAGCCATGGCGGCCCCTCAGCGCCGCCTTCCCCTCCGCGCGGCGGCTGCCGGGAGGGCGGCGCGGCCCCGCCCGCTCTGCCGCCGGAGCCGCCCGGGCCGCCATGAGCCGCGCCAAGTTCATCGGTGAGGGGCCGGCGGGGCGGGGGGAGGGTCCCTGTCCCCGAGTCCCAACCCAGGACCCCCCGCTCCTCGCCCGGTGCCGGGCTGAGCCGGCGGCCGCCGCCCCGCTCCGGGAGGGGCCGCGCGCAGCGGGAGCGGGCTCGGGATGCGCAGTGCCAGGGCTCGTCCCAGCCCCTCCATCTAGGGTTCATCACCTCCCGCCCCAGCCCCTCATCCAGGGCTCGTCCCAGCCCCTCCATCTAGGGTTCGTCACCTCCCGCCCCAGCCCCTCATCCAGGGCTCGTCCCAGCCCCTCCATCTAGGGTCAGTCACCTCCCGCCCCAGCCCCTCATCCAGGGCTCGTCCCAGCCCCTCCATCTAGGGTTCGTCACCTCCCAGCCCAGCCCCTCATCCAGGGCTCGTCCCAGCCCTCCATCTAGGGTTCGTCACCTCCCCGCCCCAGCCCCTCATCCAGGGCTCGTCCCAGTCCCTCCATCTAGGGTTCGTCACCTCCCGCTCCAGCCCCTCATCCAGGGCTCATCCCAGCCCCGTATCTAGGGTTCGTCACCTCCCGCATCCAGGGCTTGTCACCTCCTGCAGTCCCTCTTGGTGTCCCGGACCGCGATGCGGCGGCCTTGGAGCCCCCCCCCGGGAGCGTTTGGGAAGATTTGTTCTGTGTCTGGGCACTGGGGCTGCTGTTCCTCTGTTACCCCCGAATTTGGTGGGGGTTCGGCCGCCCCTCGTCGCCTGTCCCGCATTGGCGCATTAGTCGTGGTTGTTTCGGATTGTAATGGAACTGGCTTGGATGAAAATGTTAACGTTCTTGGGAAATTCGACAGGAAACGTGCAAATAACTTGAGATGTTTAGTTCATACTGAAGTTCTATGTGTGGCTGGGCAGCCTAATATTTCCTTGGAAAATTTGCCTCCCCGCTGGCAGTGTGGGCTCTGGCACCTGCAGGGGTGGCTGTTCTGGAGCCGGCGCTTTAGTCCTTGGCTGCGGGGCTGCAACGCGGGCACTCAGCCGTGGGAGCTGAGTGAGGAGGGCTGGGATGGGCTGGGGCAGCTCCAGCAGTGCCTGCATTGCAGTGTCCTGTCGGTGTCCTGTCAGTGCTGCCGGAGGGATGGCCCTGGGAGGGCAGCAGGAGGGAGAACAGGTAGCTGTTAGGAGGCATTCTGCAGCTCCTGCTCACCACCCCGTGAAGGTTGTATGGGAGATGCTGCGTTTTCCCTTCGTTCTTACTGCTTGTTTGCATAAACCTGTATTTTCAGATTTATTTGCAATGAACAGTATATGCACATTTGCTTTGGTGATTATGAGGGTGTGCCCAATACACCCGTAGAAGTCTGGAGTTGCACGGAGGCCAAAAGATAATTTTTCTGTCACTTCTTGTAAGGAGTAAGTTCTCAAGTTATGCAAGTAAACTTACGCTTAAGCTTTATGTGGCCTTTATGGGGCCATCAAGAGATGGTTTCTGTTGTCTTCTTCTAGTTGATTAATCCTCAGAATAAAATGTAGAGCCACTGAAACTTCTAATTTCTATCTTTGTTTTTCCACAGATATTGGTATTAACCTGACAGATCCTATGTTCAGAGGAATCTACAGGGGAACACAAAAACATCAAGGTCAATATTTTCTTTGTATCTGCTGAAAGACAGGAATCCTCTTGCTAAAATAGAAACCTCTTACATGTCAGAATGTGAGGTTAGAGTTTCTTTTTTCTCCTCAAGAATTGGATGATTATTTACTAAGGCTTGAAGAAGAAAGTGTGACAAAACAGGTTAGATGTCCTAAGCAAAATACATTCTCTTAATTGCTGTTAAGCTGTGGTGCAGGTAACTCTGTTTCTGGACCAAAATGGACAATTGCTGATCTATTTATGTTAGGATTGCATGGAAAAACTGATGTCGCAATTATGAACAATAGCCTATCAAAGTATTGCATTGCTGAATCATAGTTACTAATTATAATATGGGGTTTTTTGCTCTCATGGCCTTTAGATATAGATGTAAAAACAGAGTCTCCTCAAGTATGTGGAAAAACTTCCATTGCCTTCTTGGATTTGAATTGAATTTCCAGTTACTGTGTTTTGTTATTGTCTTCTAAAGATTAATCAAATATATTTTAAAGATTTAATGATAGGAATTCTGATTGCATAGAAGTTGAAAAGTAGTTAAATTATGTTGTAAAACCTTAAGTTCAACTTACATCATTTTTATGAATTTTTGCAGACGACCTTCTGGATGTGATAGAGAGAGCAGTCAAAGTTGGCGTTAAAAAGGTAATTTCTTGTAATAAAATTGTGTTAATATTTTACACTGTTTTCTAATATTTGGTTTTTTTGGTGCTCTCCTACTAAAACAAATGTTTCTTGGATTTGCAATGGAAAATGCAGTAACGTCCTTCAGTGCACAAAACAAAAGTGTTCTGTGCAGAGCACTGTCTTTCCTCTGCACAGATCATTAGCTGACTATTTAAGTTCAATGGTATTGAAGTGATGTGTATGTAGGATTGATCTTGTACAGTTTCAGCAGAAAGGTGTTCACCTCTGAGCTACTGCACTCGGTTTTCCATGTTAGTTGTATTATGGGCAAGCACTCCTTTCTTCTGGTATCTTGTGTGACTCAGAGAAGAAGTGCCATGAGGAGCAGCTGAGGGAGCTGGGGGTGTTTAGCCTGGAGAAAAGGAGGCTTGGGGGGGAACCTTATCACTCTCTACAACTGCCTGAAAGGAGATTGTAAACAGCAGGGGATTGGCCTCCTCTCAGGCAACCAGTGACAAGACAAGATGGAATGGCCTCAGGCTGCGCCAGGGGAAGTTCAGGTTGGACATGAGGAAGAATTTGTTCATGGAAAGGTTTGTTAAACATTGTAATAGGCTGCCCAGGGAAGTAGTGGAGTCACCATCCCTGGAGGTGTTCAGGAAAGGACTGTATGTGGTGTTTAGTGCTGTGTTTTAGTTGACAAGGTGGTGATCAGACAAAGGTTGGACTCGATGATCTTGGAGGTCTTTTCCAGCCTTAAATGATTCTGTGATTCTTAATCAACAGTTACTGCTGCAGCTCAAAACTCACAAACTCTTCTGATTGAGACCCTTCAGATATTTCTGTTTGTAAATTAAATCGGTAACTGCAGAATAGCTGGGAGTGCCGATAAATTTTTACAATTGAGACACATGAACATCTGCTGGTAAATAATGGCTTACGTGTATTAAAGCAGCATCACTGGGAGAGGGTTTGTAACTCTTACCTGGAAATTGGTGTTTTCAGTTCCTCTTTTATTTACAATAGTCCAGCCTGCCCCTCTCTCTCTCTAAACTAATTGTTGACAAAAATATGAATTAACGTGGAATGCAATGCATACTGTCACAAACTGTACTACTGCACTAATAAGGCTTCTGGATTAGAAATAAACACTCCTCTAGAAGAGGAACAAGCCTCTTGGGAGTATGTTGAAAAACTCTTGTCTGAAAAGAGCGGGAAATGAACTGGGAGACAAAAAAAGAAAACCCCAGGGATGGAGAAGTTACCCCACTGCAGCAAATACAGAGTCCAGGTCACTTTTGTACGTGTTGTGTAAGTGCTATTTAATCTTCATACCACTCTCTGAAAATAATTGGTAGTTTTCCTATTTTGGGATCAAAAATAGATTAGCTGCATAACTTTTTCAAGAGGCACAGTGGATTCAGAAGTGTAATTCAGGAGTTCCCTGTCCTTAGCTGTTTTCAGTCCTCCTACTGGCCTTTACAGTGTCAGAAGCCTATTCCATCACAGATCGTTCCTACTTACCTAGAAGCTTGATCTGTTTATTGTAAAATACTTTTATTTTTCCATATAGCTGCTCATTTGTGGTAAATTTTTTGAGAAGTTTTGCCCTGTGTTGTATATACACTGGGTCATTTTCTCTGTGGTACTGTTGGGATGTGTCCATCAGTCATGGAGCATCCTGCAGGAATGTCTGACCTGGTGCTCACTGAGTCTGGTGTACAGCATGTGTAGGGATATGAGTTTCCAAAAGCAACGTAGTCATGATTTATTAGGACCTAGGGTGAAATATTCTGCAAGTGGTGGTTCAAAAAAGCACTGTGAGCCACAATTCTGGTGTGATAACTTTGAGCTTAAGGTAAAAATAAAAGATCAGAGCCGGAAATTCTTAAAATTACAATCCCAACTCTGATACAGACTTGTTTTTTCGTTTAATTACTTACTTACTCATGTCTTGTTCTGGGTGTTTGGGAGTCTTTATTTTCCCCACCTGTAAGACAGAATGTTTCTGAGTATCGTTTCTTGAATGCAAGTATAGTTTCTCGAGTCATTGTCTAATGAAGGTAATATTGCTGCAGATATAAGTATTTTATTCGTTTAATGGTTTAAATGCTCAGCATAGAAGATACTTGATTTAGAAAAAAAAAATCAGATGTTTATACCTAGTGTATTTACTAGCTCCTGAGGGCCATTGAGGTTTGTTGCTGATTTATGAAATCTTGTTATATATATTAGTAATTGTCTTCTGATGTTCTCTGTCAGGATTCTTCATGTATCTGAGTGTTTTCTTAAACATTCTGTTTGATGTTCAAAGAACATACACACTGACAGTACTTTTCTTCTTTCAAGTTTCTGATTACAGGTGGGAGTCTAGAAGACAGTAAAGATGCATTGCAGCTGGCACAGACAAATGGTATTTTCACATTAAACTTGTATTGTCAGCCAAAAATATAACCTTCTCTCAGAATTAAGAGTTCAAAAGGATCTGTCCCAGAGGTGTTTACAGAATCTCAGATTAAAATGACAAATTAAATTTCAGAATGGGATGAATGCATTATGTATGAGTTTCTGTGTGTTGCTCTTTAGATCCCTCATGTTGGAAGGAATGATTCTTTTCTGCAATTTCTATTTCTACATAAAAATAGAAATTATAAGAAATTCCTGGATTAAAAAAATTGGTACAAGTCTCTGTTATAGAAATAAGCTAGAATGCTTATATGGTGTGTAATACATGGGTTTTGTTGTCTTTTTGTTTGTTTTTTACTCCCAATCTGTCATGATCAACTTGATCAAGAGAGGTATCTTTTTTTATGGTTCTCCTAGCTGTTCCTTTCTTGCTGTGGAAGGGAATATGTCTCTTCTTCTTCTTTAGGCAAATATTATTCCAGTAGTGACTTAAATATGTCTTTGAACTAAAGCACATGTTAAAGTACTGTTTACTAACAGAAACAGTAAATAATTTTGGTTTGAATGAACCTGAGGAGGTAATTTGATGCAAGCCAGTTTCCCTCCCCACTTCTGTCGAAGCAGGACTGGCTTTAATATTAGGGCAAGTTGCTCAGGGCCTTACCTGGTTTTAACTCTCCCCCGTGCTTTTCCATTCTCCATGAAGGCACTTAGCAGAAATGTTAGTTTTGGCAAAGTAATCTAGATTAGATACTTGGGAAATCAGGCAGATGTGACTTGGGAAATTCTGTCACAGTTTATGTAGGGGCACGTGAGGGAAATCACACACTCTCTGCAGATCTTTGAGCTGGGTGCACGTTGAATGAGATGTGTTTCTAAATGATCTCAAGAGGTCTCTTCCAGCCTCAACAATTCTGTGATTTATTGGGGGCTGCTCCACCACAGCAGTTCAGCTTTAAATTGCAGTTCTGGAGTACACTAAGCAATGTATACTAGAAAGACAGACACACACACATACACTGGAGACACTGTCTGACATTTTTAAAGCAGAAAATATCTGTCTTATAAAATTATTATCAAGATAAAGATGTTCAAAGGGAGTTTTCTGTTAAAACTGTAAGCAATAAAAACCCCCTCCAGATGCAGATATTGTCTATACTTTAGATATATTTCATTTTTTTTTTCTTAAAACCTCCTAATATTCTCTTGCTTTAGACATGTTTTACAGTACAGTTGGCTGTCATCCTACCCGCTGTGGAGAATTTGAGCAGAGTAGCCCCGAACAGTATTTATCTGAATTAAAAAATCTGATTGAAAAGAATAAGACAAAGGTAGTAGCAGTTGGAGAATGTGGCTTAGGTAAGTGTTCTCTTAGTACTTCAATATTTGTTTTTCTAGACATATTATTTAAAAAATCCTAAAATACTAAATGGGTTTTTTGTTGTTTCTGTTCCTAGATTTCGATAGATTAGAATTTTGCCCAAAGGACATCCAACTCAAGTAAGAAACTTTTGATGATTATGAATTGATGTGTAGCAATTTACAGGAGTGTTTTCTATCTTGTGTTCTACCATGTAACATTGGTCAGGTACAGACCCTACAATTTGCAGGATTGGGCTCAGTTTTTTTTTGCCAGAAATGGAATTTTAAAGAAATAGGCCTACATTTATTTAGTGCTATGTGCTTAATTTTGCTACCTGCCTGGTTTTAGCATGTCTTTTTCTGTAAAATTGAGCAGAAATTGTGGATTTCTGGGTGTGACAGATGGTCATTCTTGCTAATAGTTCTAAGAATTCTAAGAGACTTATGGGAAAAATAGTAAATGTAGCATGTGAAAGAATTAGGTTGTTGAAGGAAAGGCAGGAGAAGGGAAATGGAGAAGGGAACAGAACTGTCAAAAAGGATAAGTCAGCAGTGGGGGAAAATGAGCTTTTAGTAAGGGAGGTGTTAGCTAGGAGCAGATAAGTGAGAGCTAATGATAAAGGTAATCTCAGGAGGTGGAGAGATCTGTGCTTTGAAGTAACACGTAGATACTGAATGGAAAGAAAAAGGCCCCTAAAATCAGCATGCATTCTTGTATCCAGAACTTCTGTCTACAGAGGGAGCTCCCTGAAAGATACAGGTGATAAATTCAGCGAATCACCTGTAATTGTTATTATTGTAAATTCAAATAATCAACAAGTGATTAATGAATTGTACTTGCATGTTACTGTTCTGACTAAATGAGTCACTGGGGGGCAGTGGTTGCTTGTGTTTAATTGATACATGTTAGCAGGCGTGGAGTTAATTTCTTCCTAATGCTACAGTGAAATACTTAGCAAAGGGGACGGGACTTTTTTTCCTGGTAGAATTCAGCCTACACGAAGTTCAGCAAAGCACACCTTGGAACATAACCTGGTTTTTTTCTGTTGCAAATGAAAACACTAATGGAGTATCAGATTTTAAGATCCTTACTGCCTTGATGTTATTGGGAGAAAAAAGAAATGTATCAATAAAATCATAGAATCATAGAATCCTGGAATCAGCCAGGGTTGGAAAGGACCTCTGAGATCATCGAGTCCAGCCCTTGATCCACTACCACCATGGTTACTAGACCATGGCACTCAGTGCCACATCCAGTCTCATCTTAAAAACCTCCAGGGACGGAGAGTTCACCAGCTCCCTGGGCAGCCCATTGCAGTGTCTGACCACTCTCTCTGTAAAGAACTTCTTTCTAATATCCAACCTAAACCTCCCCTGACAGAGCTTAAGACCATGTCCTCTTGTCTTACTGATAGTTGCCTGGGAGAAGAGACCGACCCCCACCTGGCTACAACCTCCTCTCAGGGAGTTGTAGAGAGTGATGAGGTCACCCCTGAGCCTCCTCTTCTCCAGACTAAACAGCCCCAGCTCCCTCAGCCTCTCCTCATAGGACTTGTGCTCAAGTCCCTTCACCAGCCTGGTTGCTCTTCTCTGGACCTGCTCCAGCATCTCAATGTCTTTCCTGAACTGAGGGGCCCAGAACTGAACAAAATACTCCAGGTGCGGCCTCACCAGCGCAGAGTACAGGGGAAGGATCACTTCCCTGCTCCTGCTGGCCACACTGTTCTTGATGCAGGCCAGGATGCCATTGGCCTTCTTGGCCACCTGGGCACACTGCTGGCTCATGTTCAGCTTCCTGTCAATCCAGCACCCCCAGGTCCCTTTCCACCTGGCTGCTTTCCAACCACTCTGTGCCCAGCCTGTAGCCCCGCAGGGGGTTGTTGTGGCCAAAGTGCAGGACCCGGCACTTGGCCTTGTTGAACCTTATCCTGTTGACTGCAGCTAAAGACCAGTAGTGACTTCTAATTGGGTGCACTGAAAATGAGTTTTGAGGAAACTCAGGTGACAGGCTTGATAAGTGAACTAAACAAATGAACTAAACAAATGTGAAATGCACGGAGGCAGTTCACTGGTTTTCAGCTGGTTCAGAGTTCAGGTGTAGCTGCTCCAGAGTTAAGGGATAGCTGGCAAGCAGCTGCAGAGTTCTCCCCCAGAAGAGCAATGTGGCAGTTTCCCAGGGGGTAGTATCGGAGCATGACCTCTGTTTTGATATTTAATCATTATTCTTCGAGTTAGTTATGCTGCGTTTTCTTGTGGATCATTTTCACCTGTAAAAAATGAACATTATTTTCAATCCTTTTTTCTTGGATTTAAAAGCTATTAAGGGTGATAATCTAATAAAGATGAAAATCCTTTGTTGTAGCAATCCTAAGAACTTTTTAATCTCAAAATTTTTCTCCATTCTCAAAACTTTTCCAGAAGCAACATATAATCAGCATATGTTGAATGACAGTTTGTTTGCCAAAGGGAGAAGGTTGTTCCTTAAGCATTGGAACTGGTCAGTTTAGTTTCCTACTGAATTATTTTGTGATCATTCTGTTCACTGTATCTGGTTTCTTCATGCTTTGTTAGGTTTGGGTTTTTTAAATTTTTAGTTTATTATTATTTTTTCTCTTCAATAATTTCACTTCCCCTTTCTCTTTGATAGACCAAGAAGCAACACGTGTTGGGCTTCAGTGTTGCTACGAATAGAAGAAGCTTGAGTTGTCTTTTTATTTGTAGGGACACTAAACTTTGTACTTTCAAGGCCACTACCCTTCTCAAAATTATATTGAAATTGGCCAGTTAGGTTACTTAGGGTGCTTATTTGCAGCTCAGTCTCTAAAACCTTTTTCCCATATGAAACAAGTATTCTGTAAAAAAAAATCAAAACACCAGAAATCAGACAATTGTAGCTATTTAACCACAAGAGCAATCATGAGTTGCAATTAATTTATATTTAGTCAAACAAGCTAAACTAAGCACAGTGTCTAGACAAAGATTGAAAGTAGGTGTAATTCTCATTTTCATGTCAGAGTTCAAGGTTACAGCTGATTTCTTTTTCACCTGTTTTATCTCAAAGATTTGCATTGATTAACAAGGAAGGTAACTTTTGATCTGAGAAATACCAACCTGCAATATACAAAAAATAGTGAGAATGGCACGAAATGAGATGACCAGTTGCACTTTTGTTTGTTTGTTTGTTTGGGGTTTCTTTAGGAAAGTGGTAACTAGTGGTTTGCTGCCACTTTTTCCTGATTGATACGTGACTCATACACAGCAGTATGTGGTCACTCAAGTTTGCCTTTGAAATGTGGCTGACAACTGAAAACGGGAATTCCCCAGTGCCCTGAACTGTTTTTAGCAGCAACACCTGAAGAAATCCAGTATGTGCACAGAGCCCCAGCCTGCTGGGAACAGGCAGTGTTGTTCTCCTGCCTCTCCAAATAAATTACACGTGGACACTGAGTCACCTGGGCACTTCTGGCCTTGTGTCAGGCCTAAGTTCCTCTGCTGTGTTTCCTGAGCACTGGTGATTTGCATGCCTGTTTGCAGCAGAGATGTTCAATGGTAATGCTCACAGAGCAGAACTAGCTGCAGATGACAACCGCAGGTTAGTCCAGTGCTAATTAGTTTCCTCTGGAAACTGCGTTGGGGAACTTGGCTACCTGGTTACCTTCCCCCGCCCACATTTTAGTGTCTCTTGGTAGGGTGGGGCCTCGCTGTTCCCCGCTCCTTCAAAGGCAACTCTTAAGAGTAGAAGGTAGGAGAGGGATAAAAAGGAGTGAAGAGGAAAGGATGCAGGCACACAAAGGAGAGGAGGGAAAAAGAGGTGAAGACAATAGGTAGAATGGGGCAGGAGTGTGATGTCTAATATTGGTATTTGTTCCCCAAAGAGAGGAATGACTGCCCTCTGTGGATTGTCACTTCCAGGTCAGCAGCTGTGGTGCAGCTTTGGCCATTTGAGGCTATAGGAATAGTGATCCCTCACTCACACTCACTGCTTTTATAAGTCCTTCTTGAAATAGTGGTCTCCTTGTCATCCACACTCTCCCATTCCTGACATTTCAAAACTTTGTGGAAAGAACAGTCCGTTCCTCTTTCATTAAAAATAAATAAATAAACCCCAACTCCAGCACCCACATTGCACAAGAGCACATGTTCAGCATATACACACACTGCAGTACTGATGCTCTCGGCCACTGACCTATCTTCCAGCACAGACCACTGCTACAGCAATATACCGTGGGAAAGAGTTTATTTTAAATCCTTGCACAAGTAGGAGCTTTTGCATAGCAAATACATTCATTCTGTCTTTAGTTTTGGAGGAAAGAAGCTGCAAAAAACTTTTACTGACTTTATTTGCTCTTACACAGAGTTTCTGTTTAAAGGTGATTTTTGTTTTACAGGTATTTTGAAAAGCAGTTTGACTTGTCAGAACAGATGCAACTGCCCATGTTTCTCCACTGTAGAAACTCACATTCTGAATTTTTAGGTGGGTTTTGTTTGAGAATTTCATATTCAGAGCAGATTCTGGATACGAAAATGTTTCACCTTTGTCTGTTATAAAGCTGTCTCACATTTTTATTTATTTTATTTCATAGAGATAATGAGAAGAAACCGAGATAGATTTGTAGGAGGGGTGGTAAGTATGGACTTCAGTGTAGCATTCATTTTTACATGCATGTATGTGAATGTTGTTGCCTAATACACAGTTTCTTGCTTGTCATGGAAAATGTGTGGGCTGCCTGTTACATGATTTAAGTTAATAATTAGTAAGTTTTCCAGTCCCTTCTACCAGTTTTATTTCCATTGCTTATTCGACAGGATTTTTTGCAAGGTAAGAAGATAGGCTGAGAAAAAGCTCTGCAGCTGACGTGAGCAGTTTTTCTTGGCCCGTCAGAAGGACAGTTTAAGCACCTTATAATTGACATTGGCCTTTTCCCAACTTGTCAGTGTCTGTAACTGCAGTGCGTTCAGACCACAGATAATTTAGATGCATGTTCCCAGTGGAGGCCATAACCTCAAACATTTGCTTCTGACGTTAGACGTCAGTTCTAAATTCGATCCAGATGTAACTTTTGATTACTTCATGTCTTTAGATATTGATAGTTTTTTAATTCAAAACAGGAATTTTAATTCAATAACAGGAAAAGCTTTAGGTGAAATGATTAAGGAAGTCCAGCAATGCTCTTTCAGCTTTCCATTATGGCTGGGTTTTCCAAAAGTAATAAATGCTTGAATTATTCTATCCTAATATCTCAGTCCCCAGGTTTGCCCTTTGTTACCACAAAACCCTTGCCCTTGCTCAGTACTTTGCATGTTCCACTCTTACATAATGCTGTGAAGCCTCTCCTTCCTTCCTTCCTTTCTTTTTTCTGCACAGCCAGGGGAGAAATGAGCAGGAATCCTCTGCAACTGCCTGTCTCCCCCTGAGCACAGGGAAGCAGAGCAAACAGGCTCTTTACTCAGGCTGAGAAGCTGCAGTTCCCAGATGCACTAAACTGTGACCCTCCACTTGCCTCTCCAGGCCCTGGAATGACCAAACAGACTGTCTCTCTAGTTCCAGTGGACTAAAATCTGTGGAGAACAAAATGCTGCTCTTATGGTGCCCCTGACAGTGCCCTGTAGGGAATGGTGAGGAAAGAGTGTGAGAATTCAGCATGCACAGGATTATTTCCTGAGTATGATTTCCCAGCTATCAGCTACATGAGGTTCCTGGGCCAAAAGAGTATCTCTGGATAGGCCTTTTCTGCCCATATTTATCACCAATAAAGCATGTAACCACTTTTAGTGCAGCATTCCAGTGACTTCAGCCTGAACTTCGCCCAAACTCAGAATCAACTGAGCCATGTCCCATCTTTATGTTTGTATTGATGTGTAATGCATGCTTTCAAAGGTATTTGATGCACATAAAAAATAATACATGCTTTTAAATTATTGGAGTTTTAATAAAAGTACATATGTATTTGTATGTATCTGTGCATCTAGATTTATATATGTTCTAGGTACATTCTTTTGATGGCACAAAGGAACAAGCGGCAGCTCTGATAGATTTGGATCTTTATATTGGAATAAATGGCTGGTAAGTTCTTTACAAGAAATACAACTGTTCAAAAATGGCAGCTGTAGTGAACTCATTGCTTTCTTTTAAACAATGAGGTCAAGCTTTCAAAGCTCACTAGACTCTTAATCATCTGACAGATTTAGAATTACTCTCATTAGCCTGTTAGCCATAGAAAGTTCTTACCTTGCAGCTCAGTGAGCTGATCCAGTGTTAGGTCCACCCTACTGACCCTCAGGTCAATCCTTGTTTGTAAATAAATAAGGTTGTTGAACGTGAAAGGAGTCCTTCTGAGGAGTCTTTAAAAAGTAGCCTGATTTTAACCTGCCATGTCAAACTGAGGAGAAATGCAAATGTAACCTGAGCGCTGCATCTCCTGGTTACGCAGCCGGAATTCTCAGCAGTCACCTGGCCCAGCGCCAGCCAACACCACTTTGTGAGGCGCAGGGGCTGTCACCAGGCCAGGCAGGGCACCAGCTCAGCTTACTGGGGTGAGATGGCTTCTCCCAGTAACTCAAAATTTACTGTTTTCTGCAAAGTTCGAATTTACAGGCAGCAATGTTAAAAAAACGAAGCAAATCTTACTCATTAACAAAATTATTTCAGAAGCTGCCTTTGCTCCAAAACATTTCAACAGGCAAAGTAACTCCTTTTATACACCTTTTATTTTTATTTTTTTTAACCTAACTCTTTATTTTCTAGTTCACTGAAAACAGAAGCCAACTTGGAAACACTGAAATCGATTCCTAGTGAGCGATTAATGATAGAGACTGGTAAGATTTTGTTCAGTTTGTGACTTCATCACCATTAGGCAATGAGACGTGCTGGTACAGCAACAATAAGGCAGAATCAAGACCTAAAGAGTTCAGAGTAGGAAAAGGACTGGCTGTTTCTCCACTTGAGAAAGCAGTTTACAGGCTCCAAAATACTCCTTTTCAGCCTTCAGCTGGAAGGAATAAGCTGCTGTGTCAGTTCCTGACATTGCAGAGGAAGATGAAAAGGACAAATTGACAAGCCCAGATTTTTAAATGTACCAGAATCCTGCTTGAGTATCTTTTAAAATGTAGCTTGCTGGAGATGTGCCAAGCACAGGGAAATGGCTATGAGCTTGCCACTGGCAGCACTAGCGGCATTTGGAAAGAACTGCTCTTTAAATGGAATAGGTGGAAGAATGCTTGAATTCCCCTTTCAACCCGCTGAGCACTCATTTTACTGGACTGACTGGGGATGCCATGTTTTCTTTTTTCATGTTCTTTTCAGTTATCAATACTGGCTGTTATAAATACAGTATTTATTTTAATTTCTGAACCTGAGAAAGGAAAACCACAAACTGCCTAAATCCTGAAGTTGATTTGCACATGAAGTACAGACCTGTTATACAGGAAATTTCTGTGGAATGCAGGCAGTGTATCTGGCTATCTCTATCATGTCAGAGGAAATTAGTGTTAGTGTTAGGTACTGTGTACTAGTGCTGAGTTTTTCAAATGTAAAATCCTGAAGGTAATGGTATAAAAATCCAAGGACTGTAAAGATGTTAAATAGTCCAAATCTCTTAAATCTCATCTTGAATTGGAATTCACTGCTAGAAGAAGATTGCAAGAACTTTTGTCTGTAGTAGTTGATTAAAATATCTCATGCTGTTCTCAAACAGTTGCATACTCTTTTTTTTTTTTTTAATTAAACTAGATGCGCCTTGGTGTGGAGTGAAAAATACTCACGCTGGATCTAAATACATTAAAACGACGTTTCCTACAAAAAAGAAATGGGAGAAAGGGCACTGCTTGAAGGACAGAAATGAACCCTGCCATATAATGTAAGTGTACTACTGTACTATTACTTAAAATACCTCAAATCTCACATGAAAAAAAATAGAAAAGAATCAGTTCTCTAGTAATGTAGTAAATAGAAATTAATTCCAAATGTACTGAAACTTGTGCAAGGTTTTGCTTTATAGGCTGTGGAAAAAAATTACAAAGTCTTAATTTTCTCACTTCAGCAATTCTGGATGTAAAAAGCTCCCTGAAAGTGAAACCAGTACTGTTTTTATCCTTTCACTTGATACAGTGGAGAAGAAGTTAAACCCTGTAAAATAACCTGACTTGACTTGAATACTCATTTCATTCAGTTGTTGTTCAGGTAATTTTTGAAACTGATCCAGCCCTGAGGATCGGGGGACAGTCCCCCAGGGGGGACAGAGCTGAGGCACCAGCAGTGCTTGTGTCACTGCTTCTGTCACAGGCACCAACTACCACAACATCCATTTGGTCAGGGCTGTTTCTTCCTTCTGCTACTGTGCCTCAGTTTAGGTAGGATTGACAGCAGCCAACACAGAGAAAGAAAACTCCAGGGGCTTACGGACAAAGTTGAAAAGAACAGAAACACCTCCTTTCTGGTTCCCCACAGGGCTGTGAAAAGCAGGAAAATGCATCGTTTTAGTGAAGATGTTTAGTTATCCTTTAAATAGCACTGATAGATGAAATGCCTGAGTTTTCGGAATTCCCAATTTCAAACTAACTTTTGAAATACTGCACAGGGTAGTACGAAGGATCTAGGTGTTCAGCAAGGTCTCTAAACAAGAGTTTATTTGAGAACTGAGGGGAATTCTGCTGCTTTTGGAGAGATGTGAAGAAACTTAAAAAAACACTGATGATGCTAAAAGCATAGTTTAAGCTTTCATGGTGACATCTCCCAGTGTTCAGATACATGTTGTGCAGTTAGGTCAGTTGTAATACTCTGAAATTGGATTTATCCGTGTTCTACACGTGAAGTGCACATGTTAGCATGGAAGGGCTATTTTAAGACTTTCTAGGGTCAGTCCATGATTTTGGAGTGGGGGAAGAGATTAACTGAAAACAGTTTTCTGATCATAAGCAGAGGGCCTCTACTGTTACTATTTCAGCAAGCCTGTGGTTTAACACCCCCACATCTTTGTCTGCTGCCTTAGTTGTAGCTTATGGGAGTATTTCAGAAACCCCAGAACTGGAAATGCACAGAATCTGTCCTAGATTGGTACAGAAATGCTTTTGCTTTCTTTTATAAAACAAATTCTTGTTTGGTAGAACCTGATTTTAAAATTACCATCCCTTTGACATTTATTATATAAGCTGTACTAATTGTAAATTAGTAACTTGAGAATCAGTTAAACCTTAAAAAAAATGAAGAACGATAACTGAGAATTGGTATTTTGTGACTTCTCATGTAGCAAAATCTGGTGTGAGGGAAAGTTACTCAGGCCACAAAGTGTGTTTAATGTTTAGGGTATATATACTGTAACACAACTGGCAGGAAGAATTTTCCTCTTGTCTTTTGCTGGTGCTGGACACCTTTCAACTTTGATGGTGATATTTCTGCTTCATATATATATGTTTAGAACTACACTACTCCCCTTGGAAGCTATTTTTTAAAAAAAATTTTAGCCACAAGAACCTTTTTTCTCCTTTAGCAGTTTCACATACACAGTGTTACAGTAACACATGGCATTCTACTGCATCCAGGTGAGAAGAGATACATAAGGCCTACCATGAGTCTTCAAGGGTGAAATTCTTTGGTATTTGTTACTTATTTCCAAGTAGGCCTGATCTCACCACACCTCATTTGTAACAGCCCCTTAATTGAAGAACCATTTTGCTAATTCTGCATCTGCATCCCAGTAATTATTAAGAGCAACTTTTTCTCCTCTGTCTTCCTTACTAAAACAGTTTAGCTATAGCATCAGTTTAGAGGCAAAATCCAAAAACCACCAAACCCTACTAAGCTTGAGATGCTTCACTGTGAAGTTCTGTTCTACTACTAGAAAAATTAAAGTATGACACATCTTAAGAAGTGTACAGAATATTCCTTTTTTTTAAGAATGATTGATACAAAATCAAGAAAATAAGTGCAGAGGTTTGTGGCTTGGTTAACAGTACCCATCCCATTTCTTTTGCTTCCTTTTCCTGGCTTGTATCAAGACCATTGCCTTTTGAAATCGCTCATTTAGTATTTACTGCAAATATCTGACCACATTAATCACAATTAAGCCAGAGAACAGGGAAGGAGGAGCAAGTTACTTTGGCAGCTGTGTTCAGATAAGGCTGTATCTGGAATTTAAGCTTTGCCATAGATCAATCTGTTCAGAATGCAGCTTTAGCCTTGAAAGGGTAATGAGTTTTAGTCTGAAAGATGAAGACCATTGATAAAGACACCCACAAAATGACACTTTCTTCGAAACAGAAAGCTGTTTAATTACCTCCAAACAAGAGTCAAAAGAGCAAAGATGAATCTGTACCAGTGAGCAACCAGTGTTCAGTGTAAAGGAAATGGCAGTTAGTGACTTAAAAGTGAAGCTATTTGCATATCTGAGCACCCTGCCCTACTGCTCTCAGCACAGGTTTTTATTCCAGGTTAATCTTGGTGACTTGTACACACACATGCAGCAGTCTGAAGTACATTCAGTACTGGGTTTCAGTCTTCTAATACCACTCTTTCTTTTTTAGACAAATACTGGAAATAATGGCAGCAGTAAGAGAAGATGACCCGCTTGAGTTGGCCAACACTCTATATAACAACACTATTAAAGTCTTCTTTCCAAATATATAAAGTTGTTTTTCTTACATTTATTCAGCATAACTTCAGTAAATATACTGCAAAAACTTAAAAATCATCGTACCTGCAAATCCTAATCCATGGAAGCCAATATGTAGTGGTTTTTGGTTTTTTTATGGTACAAGATTAAAGCTGCTTTTAAAAAGGTGTTCTGCATCTGTGCAGTTTCTCAGCCCTGTTCCCCTTTCATTAAGATTCAGGATCAAGTTCAAGGCCAGCCCAAGCCTGCAATTCCTGTTAACACCTGGATGCAGCACAGGATGAGCACCAGGCTGCTGTGTTCGTGCATTGAGCACTTCAAGCCACTGCTGCAGTTCAGAGGGGTCGAACACATCCATGGCATGTGCTTTGCTGCTTCCCCAGAAAGCTCAGCAGTGCTGCCTTTTGTTCCACATACGCAAATGCTGTAACATTAAGTCTACCAACCTAAATTTTTAATTATTTTATTTTTTTAAAAACACAGCTCACTAGTTTTTCGCAATAAAGCTCTGCTAATACTGAATTTATAAGTAAAGCTGCTTTGGCTCAGGGTTTTCATTTCCTATTTGACCCGCTGAACAGTCTGTTTTCACCAGTATTTTTCATTTGCATCCAGAAGACATTGATCAGGATTACTGGTATACAGTCTTTGGCACAGCATTATCACTACATCAATTAAAGAGTGTTTTCCCAACCATCTTAAAAATGTGAAAACATTTTATTCCATGTACAATAATGTACATAACTTTAAGGTGGTCATGAAAGAGACCAGCAAAAATTAGAGGTATATTTACAGTAGCACACACCACAGTAAACAACCACCATTCACAGACTCAACATTGAGATACTGCTGTTGTGCTTAAGTACAATAACTACAAAGTGATACTTTTATTCTGTTGAAGTCAATCTTAAACAAATACCTCACGGCTTAGTAAAGAAATCTTAATCACCAAGAGAGTTAGAGTCAACATTGAGAGTCTCATTCAAGTGCTGTGCCACACAGTCGCCGTCTTCCTCATCACTGTCAGAACTGTCATTGTCTTCATTTAATTCATTTTCAGCATCAGCAGCTTCTTCTGCAACCCGTACAGGATTTTCATTTGGTGCTACAAACCCGTTGTTGTTAGAGATATTGGTACTGTCTTTTTCCTCAATATACACTTTCTGATGGCACATCGGGCACGTGTCCTGAATGTACAGCCACTTCCGGAGACAAAGTGCGTGGAAGTAATGGTTGCAGGGGGTAATGCGCGCGGAGGTGGTGAACTCGTGGTAGCAGATTGCACAGACATCATCTATTTCATGTAACCGGTTTCCCTTCACCTCTGGAAGTGAGTTTATTTTCTTAACAGCAGTCCGGCGATTTATGAAAGTCTTCCAGCCGTTCTTGGCTTGCAAGTAGATGTTGAAATACGCGTGCAGACACATCATGCAAGCGCGAATCTTGCTTCCTGATTCAAACACCATTGTGTAAGCTCCATTCCCAAACATGATCACCCCAAATATAAACTCAATAATATTGCCAGTTGAGCGAACATAATAGACATAATCATCAAGTTTTTCCCATAGCACATTATAGTAGCCATCAATCATAAACAATATATAAACAGTGATAGAAACTATTACTTTTAGGCAAAGCTCTACACAGAACGCTGTGACTGCAAAAAGCCAAGTATTTAGTGCATAGTGGTGCCAGAGGATGTAACTGAGCAGAACTGGAAGGATGAAAAGGCAAGCGGAGACAAACAGTACAGGAAAGTGTCTGCGAAACGACGACACGTGGGAGGCACTGAGAGACATCAGCACGGGGTCTGTCATTCCATGGATAAAATGCAGGACTGCGGTCAGCAAAAGGCACATGTTTCGACTCAGGCGAACCAATCGTTCTTCTGGTTTCAGTCCACTTAAACCAGTCTGCAGAGCCAAAATGAAAAACAAGACGGGTGCTACGAACCCAAGCCTTTTGTCATCCTCATCTGTCGATCCAATGAAGGCCAGGATACCAAGGCCCAAATAATGAGCTATTGAGGAAATGACGGCACTCATGCCCAACACAGTTAAAGTAGAGTCACAGCCACTTATGATCAGGCTGCAAATCAGTTCCCAACAGTTATCCCACGATATCAAGAAGAATTTTTCTTCTGTGTTATTTTCAGCCATCTTTACAACATATGTTAATACCACGGCTTGTGCTGTAAGTCTTGTTAGCCAGAAGACACGCAGTACAGCTGGGAACCGAATCCTTTTCCATGTATCTTCCATCAATAGCTGTAATCCATAAATGCGATACATGTGCCTCACCAGCAGATAAACATATCGTACCGAGTAATAGAACCATTTGATTTTGGTAACTAAAATGGCTGTGGTATTTAGTGTCAGAACTAGGCCTGAAATAAAAACTAGGACTTGCCGGACATTTAAAGGTAATTCAACAATCAAGCCAATTACAGGAATCAGTATATCCAGGATGATGAGTTGAGAGTATATGGACTGCATGTTTAGCAATGTAACATATCCAATCCCAAAGGTCAGCTGAAGGATGGAAAGTGCCATCCATAGTGAAGGTCCTTTATGTGGGAAGATCTGAATTCCGAACACGGCGGTGTAGTAGGCACTGTAGAAGTTTATGTGCAAAGAAGCATAGTAATTCACCAACACTGAGGTCGCAGCCAGCAGGAACGCCGAGGCGATCATATAGAACTTGAAAAGTGCTCGCTGTTGTAAGACCAGAACAACACTGGATACAAAGACACCTAAAACCAGATTGAAATAATTTAGTTCTCAGCAGAAATTCAACAGCATAATTTTAACCTATTAGCTTTGGAGCTACATTTATTTAATGTATCACCCCCCATTAGTCACTTTTAATTCTGCATTACCAATGGTGCCCTTTCCAGAGAACAGGTAAGAGCACAAGTTAATCTCTCATTTAACATCTGTGCACTACAGCTGTGATGCAAAGCCACTGCAAGCTCTAAGCCACAATTACTATGAAGTTCACCTGCAGTTTCAGATTAGAGCAGTGACACCTCCCAGCCTTTCAGCCTCAGTCTTGAAATCTGAGGGTAGACAAGTTCTAAAAACAGAAATAACCCAACCAGATATGGCACCACCTTCACACGCCGGGTTCATAATAAATGAGTAAAATTAAGTCCCTAATTCACTTGAGCAAGTCACTCAACTACAGCTGTCTAAGCTGGAGTACTAAAGATAGTAACTGAAACAGTTTAGCTAAACCCTTTAATGGGAAAACAGTGAAAAGTTGCTGTGGTTTGCTGGGGGAAAGGCCGTCATCTTCCATTTCCCTTCGGTTTGCTCTCATTTCTGGCAAGGCATCCTGAAACAAAAGTTGCATGGGGAAGACCTTCCGCAGTGTAGAGATTTTGTACACAGAATCCAGAACTGCACCAATTGCCTCTTTGCCAATGCAAACTTGTCTGTCTTGTTAGAAGTCAGATTTAGACCTTGAAATTCCTGTTTGCTAAACCCTCCCTCTTACTGACCATGAACACATCTTGACCGTGACTGCACCTTCCTAGGAGAAACCTTTTCAGAGCAATTACAGTACCTTGGGATTACATGTCCCTGCAGTAAACTTCTGTGGAGTAGCTTATGAATTTCATCACTGTGTACTACATAGGTCAGGGCTCTGCCTTAAGAGGTGTTAAACAGCACTCATCACTAGATCCACTTCCTTAAACATTTTCTTCTTCAGGAAACACTCTGCCTTTCTTTTGGACTTCCTGGTCAGCTTCCACTCTACGCAACTGCTTTCCCATCCAAACCAGTTTGGTGAGATTGCAATTTCTACAATTTATATTTGACTGTAAATTGCTTTCAATCTCTAGACTAAAACTAATGAAATCACAAATAATCCTTTTTCCACTGCAGAATAGCATCAGTCTTTGCTGACGATTGGATTTTAGATTGTTCTAAATCTACCCTAATCAAGTGTTTAAAAAATACTTTAAGCCATAGGATCTTGGTTAAGAAGCAGCATTAGATTCCACCACCATAAAAACAGTAACAAAGATACACCCAAAACACCCAAACAACAAAAAAAATCCCACAGCCTGGAGGCCTGAGAAGAAGGGAGGGGTCAACATGAATCAACAGCAAAAGGCAGACTACAAATAAAGTCATTAATGCACCTTAACAGTATTCCTTGCCAGCAGCACTGGCTGATATAAACACATTCTCCTTAACTAATCATTAACCTGGTAACCTTGTGAAGTGGACTGAGGAAAGTCCTGCATCATTTTGCAGAAAACACCTTTTATGGTAGCTCAGTTTTTCCAGGGAAAGTTCAGTACTTTTTACAAAATAAGCTTGGTGGTTTCACTGCCTTATCATACTTAACCACCACAGACACCTTTGGGAAAGCCAACACTGCTAAGTCCATAGCCTTTGCCTCTCCTCGGAAGTCACACAAAAAGCTCACATGGCTGTACAAGGTCGTTATTTATGTAATTCTGATCATCTGAGCCAAAGGAGATGCATTTTGCACTGAGCAGGCTGCTCTGAAACGCCTTAACAAAACCTATTTTTGTGCCTTGCAGTGGCAGTAACAGGCTGTATTTAGATACTACAGGTCATCTTAAAACTGACATTTCACATACAAGGCCCTAAAAACAGTACTACAGTGAGTCAATAGAGCAGCTCGACCTACTGATTCCTCTGAAGAGGGACTAACAAAAGGTAAAGCATTTCTCTGTTAACACTTGTGGGGAAAAGTCAAGACTCCCCAAAAGGAGCCTCAAAAGACCATAAGGAGTAACTTAAATCTCAGAAGGGGAGGTGAGCACTCCTCTTTTGATTCATCTCCATTTATGTCACTTAGTCCATCTTGACACCAGACTTCCCCCTGCCCTGCGAAGTGTTCACCAAGCTAAACCTTTTCCCATTTTCCCTCTGCTAGGAAATGCTGCAGTTCCTCCTTTGATAAGGTTTGTCTCATGTTTCTGTATATATTGCTGCTCATCCTCCCTGCTCCTCTGTGTCATCTCATCCCCAGCTGTCCCAGTATGGCCTCCGAACAGCACTGAACCAAACCACAAATCCTTCACTTTTAAAATAATGTCTTGTGTTGCAATGAATCTCTCCCTCTCATTTTTTCCCTTTAACTCCTGCAATTTGGCAGTATCTTTATGGCAGCCCCACTACCTACC